ACACACACACACACACACACACACACACACACACACAAGTGTGTTCGCATGCATGCAGACACACATTGGCACACAGGCACATGTGTATATGCACAAGGGATTGCACACACACACACACACGCACACACACACACACACACACACACACACACACACACACACACACACACACACACATGCATCCACATAAACACGCACATGCACACACACAAACAAGGAAACGGACCAAACAGACAAAGCGACATACAACCATCATTACCGATGCAATACAAAGGTCTTCTTCTCTGCTTCTTTGCTGGCTAGGACAAAGAATAAAGAGTCAAACGTCAAACCCCAGCAGACATGCACGTCCCCGCTTTTAGCTGGTCCTTCACTTCATGTGTTAGTGCGAGGTCCACCAATAAAGGTGGATCACAGAGGATTCACAAGCCTCCGTTACTCTTTAGGCAATTTACTTTCTCACCGACAAAGGGTGATCGAAGCAAGGGCACAAAAACCATTGCTTGCAAGTAACTCCATAGAAGAAGTTGCGGATGTGCTGCCAGGTACTCCACACCTATGTTTGCTCAGGATAGACCCTAATTACCTATCGGAAGAAGTTCAGGACAGCTAACAAGACCTGTATCCTTTTTTGAGTGGTGGTCCCTTTGATTATCAGGAAAGAAGGATATATGTCAACATAATTTGCGTCATAGATGTTGAGATGTAAGCTCAAAGGTCGTAATCCTTGGGGACAAAGGTCATCTGTCAACAGCCGAGATCGTTTATTCAACAGGATCCAAAAAACAATTCGAGGCTCGCCACACTTTTCGTTTTTATAGGGCAAGAAGTTCTACGATGCTAACAAGGGCCCCCCTTATGTTCCATTTTTCTGTTGTGCACTCTTTACCTCTTGCACGAAGTATTTTTTTGAGCATCATCTGAAAGATCCTTGACATTTCATCTAGAAGCACCTTGCGAGAGGAGTTTTTCGTTTCTTTTTACCCGCGCTCACGTTCAGAGTAGCAAACCTCGACTCCATACAAGTGCCAACTTGTCAAACAGCGACCAATCTCGCTAAAGAAACAAAAGTTGCCAATTGTGTTGGCTCCAACCAAAATTGTCACCGCGGTCGCGGCTGACGGCAGAGAGATCGGGTGGAACAAATACGTCCATGCACGCGATGTCCCTGGTCACCTGCGCGTACAACCGAGTGAGCAGAGAAGTTAACACATTGCGCCTGTGCCGCGGAGAAGAAGGGAAAGAGGGCGGTGACGATCTCACGCGCACTCTAAGCGCGGGATCGGCAGTTAGTCGGAAGGGGAAGAAGGGTATTGCCACACTCATGCACTCAGGCAGACATCCAATCACCCAAATACCCAGACGCACACTCATGAGCGCAGCAGGACGAAGACACCGCACACCCTCAATGCTCATACATCCATAGACTTTCTACAGCGAAGGATTCAGCATCCATAGACACTCATAGCCAAAGTCATGCACACGACTGAGCATCCACACTTAGCCTTTGGTGCACACAACAAATGGACAACGCAGCGATGGAGAAGAAGCGAGTCCCTCACTATTCAAAAATTACAACAGTGCTGGCACACTCTGTGTGCCCACGAGTATCATGTCCATGCATGCGTACATGAACAGCAAACTGGACACCATGCAGGACACCCTGGATTCTGCAAGCCTTGCATAGGCCAGGAATCAGGCCAGAAGTTTTGCCATCGCTGCCATTCTCAGCGATGACAGGCCCCTATGTCGCTCAGTCCGGACCAATACCAAGTGGTACATCGGCAGCAGCCATGTCTCAGTTTGTTGCTTCTTCATCTTTTGGTCCAGCGGTTGGAGCTACACCACAACCGCCGCCTGTCTCACCAGTGCCAGTCGAGTTAAGGGTCGAGTCATCCAAACCCTCTAATGCAGCTATGTTTGCCTCCCTACCCTCTAGTCTAACACTCCTATCTCTAATCTCTTTCTCTCTCTTAGTAGCCTGTTTAAATTCCTCCTCTAGCCTTAAGCGGATCCTCTCTACTTACTGGAGCTCCATCTGCTCCCTTGTAAGGTGAGGCGGCGAGCTAGACTGCACGCCGGCCATCTGACTAAATCCAGCTCCTGACGTACTGGAGATGGACTGTGAACTGGTCGAGCGGCATACCTAGACCCTGACCAGTTGAGTTTGCAGCAGAAGTGGCTGAACAGGTAGCCATTGCTACTGCGCTAGCTGCTGCTGCTGCCAACGCCCGTTCTACCTCTTGAAGTCTCTAGATTACGGGCCCTAGCTTCGACCCTTAGCCTTCTCTCATCCCCTGGTAGTAGAAACAGGAAGACTACGGGTATCCTTCTTGTGTCCCAACGTGTCTGCCTACTATCGTCAACTGTACCTTCACCCCCGGCTGAACCACTCATCGGCTAGGCAGCCACTGTCTGGACTAGGACTCTCGCTGGAACCTACCGCAGCTTGCGTCTGGCCGGTGCTAAAAATAAATAAAATAAAATAATGTCCGACAAGTTACTTAGACTACCATTCAAGCGGTATCAACAACATATGCACAAACTGTACACATAGTCTACACCTATCCTGATTAGTTCTCCTACAGAAGCTTTGAGAAGAACCGACTATGGCAGATTATAGTCCTACTGCAACTGTCCTCTGGTGTCCACATGATACCACTTTTCAATTTGGTGTTGACTGGCATTTTGGCGATTACAGGGGAGAAGGCACCAGGCATGTGCCGCCCTTCCTCCATCTGCTGGTCCTGCTGCTCACCCTGCTCTGCTTGCGAGGAGCTGACTTCCGGCTGGCTGTCTGTGTCCAATGTCTCATACAGATCCAGAGGGAAGGTTTCTGTTACCTCCTCTTGCAAGATTTTGGCTACATTCTGGACTTCTTCGACCCGGGGGATCGTGAAGGACACATGTAGCCACTTGCCACTCGGCCTCCTTCTCGATGTACCTGGCTGCTATCAGCGGGCGGGTCCCCATCAAGGTAAGCCTTGCTGATTTGGCCGATTCCACCACATGGGGGGCTTTGCCGTCTGCGATGTGCTGGAGGGAGGTGAATTCCGGGGTGTACTCCGCGTTCAGCTTGATAAACTTCTCTGTCTGAGCCACCACCACTGCCACCTCTTTCTCCAGTACGACCCGTGCAGATTCCTCTTCGGATTCTGTCCCCTGTGCTTTTGGATCCGAGTGTGGTTCCTTTTTTTTTTTTTTTTTTTTGTGCTCTTCCATTTCTTCGGACGCAGATCCTGGAATGAGTCAATGGTGTTCGGGACTGTTTAGTCCTTGTCTGTCAGGCCGTGTTCCCTTGCCCTTTTCTTTTCCGCGTACCTGAAGGCTGTGTATTCAGAAAACTCTTCTTCCTTCCTCAACATGTCATATTGATTGGCAGATTTCTGAATGCCTGCCACTGACCCTTTCCTGCTGTTGTTCCCATTCTTTTGGGATCTCTCAACATGCTTCAGGCACGTTGCTCTGATGTCGAAAGCATGTTCCCTCTCCGTTTTGGCTTTCTCCACATAGTTCCTAAGCCATTGGAGAGACCGTTGGGATTCAGACTCAGACTCCGAGTTACTATCTGAAATCCCGGTGGTTGACCCAGCCTCGTTGCTGCATTTGCTGTCCTTGCTGTCTTTGTCCAGACCCGCTGTATCAGATTGAGTGTCCCTTTTGGGATCTTTGGAAGGGCGCTGTTCCTTTTGTTTCCCTGATTCTGAATCCATTGTCTTTTTCCTCTTGAGGCCAACTTCAGCTTTTTCCCGCAAACCATCTCCTTCCCGCGTGCGTTTGGCTTCGCTCAAGAGATGCTCTTGTTCTTCTTGTTCGAGCATTTCACGCGAAAGGCTGTGGGTTCTTTGCAATACAGTTCTTCCACTTGTTCTCTGATTGAATCCAAGTCCCATAGGAGATCCTCTCTGGCTTTCTCTTCCCTGATCACACGAGAGTCGATCAGGGGGTTCATGGTGATCTTTGAGAGATTCCCCAATACTTTCCCCGTTGCCTTTTTTTGCCATCTGTTGTCTGCCGGGGGGAAGATGCTAGGTTTTTTCTCTGATGGCTCTTGATCAGCGTAATGCCAAACCCAATCCGGGTCATCAAGGTTATCATCAAACACCCATCCATCGTACTTGAGGTCAATGATGAACGACGTGCCCGGGGCATCTCCTACTTCCACTAGCATGCTCGGGTGAAGTTTCCGCTCCTTGGTTTGTTTAGGAAACTCCGGGCAGTTCGGATCTGTGCCCATGTGACCACGGGCTCTGCAGCTGAAGCAGATTGGGGATGCTCTGGTAGAGACCTTGATTTCCAGGGTTTTGTTCTCAATTTCAAACTCCCAAATTTCTGGGAACACCGGGGGGTCGTCTGTCTTTACTTCCAACAGGGCAGTCATCGATCCACAGTGTCGTGAGAGGAATTCTGGGGTTGGCAGAATCCATTTGAGGATTTTTTTTGCTGTGTACTGCCGTCCCAGTCTATCTACCACTAGACCGTGAAAACCTGGGTGAATGTTGTCGAATTGCACCCAGAAATGCTCTTTCATGAGAGTTTGTTTGTATGACACATAGAAGGTGGGGTTCTGCCTTTGGACTGTCTGCTTTTTCCATTTGGTTATCATGCAAATGGAACCATTGCAGTTCCTCGACTGCATTTCTGCTGCAATTTGGGCATGGTTCTCCTGATTGAAGATCACCATGATGTTATAGCGGCCCAGATTTTGCAGTGAGAAGCGGTCCCCAACCTCTTTGAGTTTCGGTTCTTTCTTGATAGTCTCAATGATCCATTTCCTATTGTCTGTCGGCATCAGATCTGCTCCACTGCGAGCAAAGTTGAATATTGCATGCCTCTCATGCAGGTCGTCCAGTTCTTGGACCTTGCCGTCAGGATATTTCCAAACAATCAC